CAGATGGCCCTCACCACTGTGGGCAAGCACCCCCCATTCCATGGAGGGCCTGAGTAGAAGAAAAGGAAAGTGAGTTCTCTCCCTGCCTGACTGCTTGAGCTGGGACATGGCTCTTCCCCTGCCCTTGGCACTCCTGGCTCTCAGGCCTTCAGACTCAGAATGGAACCTACACCACAGGTTCTCTGGCTCTTGGGCCTTTGAACTACACCATGAGCTTTTCTAGGTCTCTAGCCTGCAGAGGGCAGCTTGTGGGACTTCTTGGCCCCCATAATTATATGAGCCAATGCCTTATAATAACCCCTTTCTAGAAACATATATGCATCCTATTGGTCTCTTTCTCTGGATGACCCTAATATTAATACAGGTAGTATCCGCCCCAGGAGTAAGCAGACGCCTGATGGGTGTAGCAGGCAGCCTTCAAGGTGGCCTCTAGTGACCCCTGCCTCTTGCTAGTCACACCACTGTGTGTTTCCCCCAACACTGAACCAAGGCTGACTGTGACTACAGAATAGAGCAGAAGCAATCCTGTGTCACCTCCAAGGCTTGGTTATTAAAAACACAGTGGCTTCCAGCTTGGGTGCGCCCTCTCCTGCTCCTGGGTTACTCACCCTGGGAAGTCAGCTACTGTATTGGGAGCAGCCTCACGGAGAGGCCCACGTGGCAAGGAGTTGAAGCCTCCTGCCAACAGCCACAGGGTAACGCTTGCAAGTGGATCCCCCCATCCCCAGTCAAGCCTTCAGATGACAGCAACTCTGGCCAACAGCTTGACTGCAACATCATGAGACCCTGATGCCCTGGCTAAGCCATTCCCAGAGTCCTAATTCACAGAAATTGTGGGGGATCATAAATATTTGTTGTTCTAAGCAACCAAGTTTGAGGATAATTTGTTACACAGCGAGAGCTAATACTGCTATAATACAATGACAAGAAACAGAAAATAAGCCCTCACAATAATTCAAGAACCCATTTACTTGCTTCCTTCAAAGCCACTTTTCCTCATATAAATGTGTGTCTTTTTTTAACATGTCTCATAGCTTGAGTTTTCTTAATTCAAAAGGAAACAAGGCAATCGATTATTTAGAGGAATGTGACTTACAGAGCCTTAATTGCAAATGATTATTATGCCTCTGCCTCAGGAACTCGCAGCTGCCCAGGGCCAAAAAGCACCAGGCTAGTTACATGACCTTGTTCTAGAAAATCCAGTAATTCCTAGCAAAAGGAATGTGTCATCAAATGCAGGATTTGCTTGGCGACATTCAGTTTTACAACCATGAACTCAGAGCCAGTGAAACACGCATATACACAAGCACATACTTAGCATTCGGATATTTCACTTTTCTGAGTAGGAGATAGACTAGCTCCTAATTCTTTCTGCACCGTTGCTGTTAAAATAGACCTTTTGATGAGATAAGGAGACATAATTATTATAGTCAAGAAAAATGAAAATAATAGTTAACATTTACTAAGTATTTATCAAGCACATTGAGCAATACATGGTCTCTCGTTTTATTTATTCAACAAAACTCTATGAGGTAAAGAGTTTCCTTATTACCATTTTAAAACTAAGGAAACAGGCCAAGCGCAGTGGCTCATGCCTGTAATGACAGCACTTCGTGAGGCCGAGGCGGGTAGATCACTTGAGCCCAGGAGTTTAAAACCAGTCTGGACAACATGGTAAAACCCCGTCCGTACAAAAAGAGAGAAAAATTAGCTGGATATGGTGGTGCCTGCCCACAGTCTCAGCTACTTGGAGGCTAAAATGGGAGAACTGCTTGAGCCCAGGAGGTGGAGGCTGCAGTGAATTGAGATCGCATCACTGCAGTCCAGCCTGGGTGACAGAGTGAGACACTGTCTTTAAAAAAAAAAAAAAAAACACTAAGGAAACAGAAACAGAGAAGTTAAGTAACTCACCCAAGGTCACACAACTAGTAAGCAGGAGAGCCGTGGTCTGACCCCGTCAGTACAAGGCAAGCACCTGTACCATAAAGCCCTAGCTATACCCACCTGCACTGTGACCCCTGCACCTGAATACCCACGCACCTGAGGAAAGTGTAGTGCTGGTGACTGAGCCTCACCTTCCAGCCTGTGACACTCCACTGCCCCCTCCTGTGCCCCAGCAGCTACAGCCACCCACCCCCAGGTAACAACTGCCAACACTGACAGCTGCTTTTACTCTGGCCAGAAGCAAGAAGAAAGTTCTGACCATTGGCAGAGGTTAACTCTATCTGGAACATGTCAGCAACGGAATTTTTCAAAACTTACATATCCAGCTGATTGGTTTGCCTACTTCTAGTTTCTCCTTTTGAAATATTGGTCTGTTTTACAGATATTGGTTCCTTCTGCCTGCAGACTGCAAACTTTCAGACACCTTAAACTCTTAGCTACCCACTGCTTAAGTAGGGATTATAAAACTGCCCAGTTAGGAAACTGGTTTTATCTACCCCATTTATGGGATAAAATTTTCCCAACAATTGTCATGCACTAAAACACGCTTCCTGTGGAATACCCTTAGGATGCCTTGCTCGTGTCCACTGCCATATGCACCCTCACTTCTTTTCCTCCTCATTCAGCCCCTTCAGCCGGATGAGATCATCCTCTCCATCCCAGAGATGAGGAAGCACACACGTGCAGAAGTTGAGCCATTCACCCAGAAACACACAATTTGCAAGTAATGATGCAAAGACTCAAGACTACGCTAACTGCTAATACAAGCCATTAAATGACACGGAGGCTGGGCATGGTGGCTCACGCCTGTAATCCGAGCACTTTGGGAGGCTGAGGCAGGCGGATCACCTGAGGTCAGGAGCTCAAGACCAGCCTGGCCAACATGGTAAAACCCCATCTCTACTAAAAATACAAAATGTTAGCTGGGCATGGTGGCACATGCCTGTAATCCCAGTTACTTGGGAGGCTGAGGCTGGAGAGTCACCTGAACCCAGGAGGCAGAGGTTGCAGTGAGCCGAGATCATGCCACTGCACTCTAGCCTGGGCACGACAGAGCAAGACTCCATCTCAAAAAAAAAAAAAAAAAAAAAAAAGACAGGACATATAATTCTGTATCTCTTTGCTCACTAAGAACCAGTCTCTAAAGGCTTCAGACTTTATTGTGAACATTAAATGCAATTATGCTGCAGAACTCTAGCATGGCCAGGCAAAAGGGCGGTCCAGGTGAGAAAATGCCAAACTAGGCACATTTACACTATTTATAACAGTCATTTAACTGTCTTTGATGCTCTTGAGCTATCATTTTAAAATGTGACGAAAGGGGAAAAGCTCAAAGAATGGAAATTCAACATAGGATCATAGTGCCAACATTCAATAAGACATACAAAACAATTACATTAGAGCCATTCGCAGCATCTAACAGCACAGAGAGGTAAATGTTGCTGCCATAAATTGACTTAACTCTGGGCTCCCTTGCACATCCACAAGACGTGTTTATCTCGTGGTCTTATTTTAAAATAGATTTACAGAACAATCAATAAACTGCTTATCTTACCTAAACTGAGAACAAACTGAAAACAATCTGAATGTGAAACTGACCATATTAAATTCATCATTCCAATCCAGAATGGACAATTTAATATGGCGTGTTAACTCAATCAAATACCACATCCAGGTACACAAAGGTGGTTAACATGAGGCCTATATGGAAACAACAAAAGCTGCTTTTGCACTACTAAGCAGTGCTAGAAGGCAGACTAAACAATGACAGGCATAGATTATATGCATAGTAAAAAAAAAAAAAAAAATGTTAGTATATGAACAAATTCAGTAAAGATGCATGTAAACTGGGATTTGGGGCAGTTTACTTTGCAGCTTTCTTTAATAGTACATAAACAAAGTGACGGAAAAGGAAATAAAATGGCTTTTAAATAAAAGGTGGCTCAACCATACTCTTAATTAGAGAAATGGGAAAGAAAAATGTTCTACTAGCACCATTTCCAGCCCTGGCATTATCAGAGACCCAGCAGTCGGATACCGTGGCTGTGAGCACAGCTGCAGCGCAGCAAGCCCTCTCCCATGCTGCTGCAGAACATGCGGCTCACGCCCGTGACAGGCGAGTTGATGGTCCCTGTCCAACTTACAAATGCACTGCACTTTGACCCAGCAATTCCACTTCCAGGAATATTTCCAAAATATATACTCATACGGGAAGAAAACAACCAACGCCAAGGTTGTTGACTGTGGCATTATTAGTGGTAGCAAAAGACTGGAAACCATCTCAACGCCTGGCTGTTGGCAGGCTGCTTAAATGAATTCTGATGCAATCAGATGAGGAAATGTCAGGAGCTCTTAACAAGCAGAGGGCAGCCCCACGCGGGCCAATGAGAGCAATCTCTGAGACGTCAAGTGAATGCTGCATAGGACAGGCTACCATTTCACATTAAGGAAGAAAGGAAGGAGGAGAAGAGAATGAAAAGGAAAAAAGTATATGCGCACGTATCTGCTTGTGTGCACAGGGAACATCTCTGGAATAAGTAACGATGACCCCCTCTAAGGAACAAACTGGGTGGCTGGGATAAGAGAAGGGCGACTTGCACAGGTTCACTTTTTGTATTTTGAACCACATGCATACATACTATTTACTCAATGAAATAAAGTAAAACACATTTTTTGCTTTAGTCACTATCTTTTTTTTTTTCTTTTAGAGACGGAGTCTTGCTCTGTCACCCAGGCTGGAATGGAGTGCAGTGGCATGATTTCAGCTCACTGCAAGCTCTGCCTCCCGGGTTCACGCCATTCTCCTGCCTCAGCCTCCCAAGAAGCTGGGACTACGGGCACATGCCACCATGCCTGGCTAATTTTTGTATTTTTAGTAGAAACAGGGTTTCACCATGTTAGCCAGGATGGTCTCGATCTCCTGACCTCATGATCCACCCACCCTGGCCTCCCAAAGTGCTGGGATTACAGACGTCAGCCACCGCGCCCGGCCCAGTATGCTCAGGTTTTAATGAAGCCCCCACGTGCTTACTTCTCCATCCCTCACCCCCTCCTACCTGGCCAGCGCCTGGACCTTCATGCCCTGTCGCTCCTCCTGTTCAGCCACCTTCCTTTTCAAGGTGTCCACCTCTTGCCGGAGCGCGGCTGAGTGCTCCATCTCACCATCGAGCAGGTTCCGCAGCGATCTGGGAAGAGAAGGCCCCATCTGTTCAGAAGCTGTCAACCCAGACCCCACTGAACCCAGGACACAGTTCCTAACGTAAGTCAAGTCCTAAGCCATGCATTTTCCACAAGGCTCTGCATAAACCATAATTCAAGTCTATCTCATGTGAACTGGAGATAGCAAACTCTGACAGCCTTAGAGTAAGAATTAAGGGACAGTCGTCTGTGGCCTGGGCTCCATGTCCCTGATTGCCTGCGAGCAGGCCAGCCTTCTGACAGCCTAAATCAAGGGAAAACAATGAGGCGAGCAAATTCCAGCCAAGTCCCTTTACAAATACCCCACTCAAAGGTGTAGCATGTTTCAATGAGACCATTTTGTCACAGCTACACCAGGTAAGAGATTTAACCAAGGAAAGGATGCCAGGAGAGGCCAAAACAATAATCCGAGGCATAAAAATAGAATATACACTCAGAGTATCTGAGAAATGTCTAGTCTCATTTCCACCTGTGCCTACAAAACACATCGCGAACCTGTTTCATGGCCAACTTCAGGTGAAACAAGCACATATATGAAATGTCTTACATCACTAAAGCATCTGAGATAGCACAGATAGCATTTTACATTCCCAAGTTTGTTAACCCTCCAACAGGGGGCTTGCAGCCAGCACAGGATTCACTTGTGTATCTGACATCCCTGGTCTTAAATAAAGGAGAGCACAGCAGGTCTTCTAGAAACCATCACCAGTGACCGCCTCGGAGACAGCCAACCATGGTGCTGCTGACCATTTACTTCACTCTACCTGGCTGTTTCTGGAAAACAATTACCAACCATGGTACATCTACATACTAAATCCAGAGGACACCTGCCATGTGACATCAGGATATGAGCAAAAACATGGCCGGGCGGGGTGGCTCACGCCTGTAATCTAGCACTTAGGGAGGCCAAGGTGGGTGGATCACTTGAGGTCAGGAGTGTTTGAGACCAGCCTGGCCAAAATGAAACCCCATCTCTACTAAAAATACAAAACTTAGTCAGGCGTGGTGAGACACACCTGTAATCCCAGCTACTCGGGAGGCTGAGGCAGGAGACTTGCTTGAACTCGGGAGGCAGAGGCTGCAGTGAGCCGAGATCACGCCACTGCACTCCAGCCTGGGCAACAGAACAAGACTCTGTCTCAAGGAAAAAAAAAAAAAAGAATATAATCAAAAACAACTGACCCCCACCGCACTCTGTTCATTCACTGAAATCTCCAAGACTTGTGTTCCTTGAGAGCTTTGAGGAAATTACCCCCGTGGTGCCTGGGGGTCCCTGACAAAAACATGGTATAATTTTTCCTTTCTTTCTGGGAAGTACAAAAAAGTAACAGACAGCGGTTATTGTTCTTCACAAGGTAAGACAAAATCTATGGCTTCTTCCAGGATAATAGCCCCAGCTGGAGCAAGGAGAAAGAATCCCGCAATGGTGCGAGCCCTCTATTGAAAGTTTATTCTAGTTGGAAAACGGTGTGGTCTAAAGATTCCTTTTGAAGACATCCTCTTTTGTTTCAGAAATCATGCTTGTTTGCTTTTATATGTTTCCAGAAAGGACAAGAGAGAAGCTTGTCCAGCAGGACCAAAAATGAGGTTTAAAGGAGAATCATGACTGTGTGTAAAAGAGGGTGTGAGTGCCAGGCGCGGAGGCTCAAGCCTGTAATCCCAGCACGGTGGGAGGCCGAGACGGGCGGATCACGCGGTCAGGAGATCGAAACCATCCTGGCTAACCTGGTGAAACCCCATCTCTACTAAAAAAAGATACAAAAAACTAGCCGTGCGACGTGGCAGGTGCCTGTAGTCCCAGCTACTCAGGAGGCTGAGGCAGGAGTATGGCGAAACCAAGGAGGCGGAGCTTGCAGTGAGCTGAGATTTGGCCACTGCACTCCAGCCTGGGCGGCAGAGCGAGACTCCATCTCAAAAAAAAAAAAAAAAAAAAGAGGGTGTGAGTAAGAGAGGATGACGTGAACGCACACACCCCCCTCTCCCCACGTCCCAGGGAGGCAGTTGAATCATGCTTGCTGAAGTTCAGGGGGTAACTGCAGGTAAGCCTTCTATGACCACCCCACAGTCAAGATAAGTCAGATGGGAGTCGGCAGCCAATGTCAGGTGGTATCTAGCATGGGTTTCAAAAGGGAAGAAAGATTAATGAAAAATTTCGCCCTCCCAAGAGTTTGCAACTGGGTTTTTGGCCAAGTCAAAAGACTCCGAATTTCATCTTGCCCTAAGTACCCCCGATTTGGGCAAACTTTAAGGTAAGTGTTCAGATGCCTGGAACATGGTAGGTAGACAGGTCTTTGATTAATGATGACTAAAGGCTGCCTAGAGGCCAGGCACAGCGGCTCACTCCTATAATCTCAGGACTTTGGGAGGACAAGATGGGCAGATTACTGAAGCTCAGAAGTTCAAGACCAGCCTACGCAACATGTCAAAACTAAAATACCAAAATTAGCCAGGTGTGGTGGCATGCGCCCATAGTCTCAGCTATTCAGAAGGGTGACAATGGAGAATCACTTGAGCCCGGGAGGTGGAGGTTGCAGTGAGCAGAGATCACTCCACTGCATTCCAGCCTGGGTGACAGAGCCAGAACTGTCAAAAGGGAAAAAAAGACTGCCAAGGCTAAAGAGGTAATAACTAAAGGGTATAGGGCTTCTTTCAGGGGTGATGAAACGTTCTAAAATTGACTGTGTTGATGTTAACTCCTATCTGTGAATATAGTAAAAACTATTGAATTATACACTTTATTTCTTTATTTATTTTTTTGAGACGGAGTCTCGCTCTGTCACTCAGGTTGGAGTGCAATGGCACAATCTCGGCTCACTGCAACCTTCGCCTCCCAGGTTCAAGCAATTCTCCTGCCTCAGCCTTCTGAGTAGCTGGGATTACAGGTACGGGCCACCACACCCCGCTAATTTTTGTATTTTCAGTAGAGATGAGATTTCACCATGTTGATCAGGCTGGTCTTGAACTCCTGACCTTGTGCTCCGCCTGCCTCAGCCATACACTTTAGATGAGTTAATTATAGTGCATGTGAATTAAATATCAATAAAGGCTGTTTTTTAAAAAAGAATTAATGACTGTTCTACCAAATTCTTAGCTTGTTCTATGAAGGTGCTGTTATCATAAGGTTCTCACTCCTTTCTAACACACCAGGCACAAGAGAGCTACCACAGTGGCACATCCCCGATGATAAGAAATTGCCAGTCACGATTTTTGCCAAGAAAGCAAAATGTCCCTCATCCGTTATATTCTGTCTGCCCCAGAGGCATAACGTCAAAGAAAGAGGCTATTCCTCAAGCCTGAAAATCACGGTACCTGTTCTCCTCCTCCAGCTCATCCTTCCTGTTCATCATGGCCACAATAGCCTGGCGCAGCTCACCTAAGAGAGAAAACAAAGTCAAGATTAATTGGCAGGTCTCGCCTATTACAGCATGCCCTCACCTCTCTGGATTATATGCTATTAAGGATGACTTGTCTAGATAAGTTCCCTTTTCCCTTTCAAAAATAACTCCTATAACAGTCTAAGAGACTCAGCTGATCAGGGTCCTGGATTTCAGAGCACAGTCTCTGGAGTCAGGTCCCAGGTTCAAATCCTGCCTCTACAGTGGATTAACCTTGGGCAAGTTAGTGATCCCCTCTGAGCACCAACTCCCTTATCTATAAAATGAGATCTTAACAGTTACTATCTCCTAGAAGTGTTGTAAGAATTCAGTAAGACAATATATAAGTGAGATGCTTAGGAATGGTGCCCAGCACAGGATAGCATTTAGCAAGTATTACTGATCAGTATCATTACAGTCTTTGCAGAAATGCAACAGCGGAAGACAGGAAAATGGAGATAAGGTAGCCGTATGGCTCACAAGCACAAGTGGGTTAAACATTTTCAAGAGTTAGGGGATTTATTGAGCTCCTGTCTGCCTCATCTTGGGAAATAAAGGATTTTTTAAATGGTTTATGCCCTAGAGCAGCAGACTAGATAGTAGAATTTTCTGAAGTGTGAAACAAGATCACCACGGGCAATGTGGGAAATCAACCCCAGACAGCAATGTGGCATTTGGAAGAGCAAGTATCTGGGTTCTGGGCCTTGCAGGCACGGGATAACGGGGTCCCCAATGCTGCTACTCAGACTTTGTAGCTGAAAATGTTATATTCCAGGCGGAAATTCTAGGAGGAAAAAACTGCTTCCCAGGAGGTTTCAGAGACAGCAGTGCTTGCCTGGCAAGTACAGCCTCAAGTAGCCTTAAGAGATATAGGCCGGGCACGGGGGCTCATGCTCGTAGTCCCAACACTTTGGGAAGCCAAGGTAGGAGGATCATGTGAGCCCAGGAGTTCAGGACCAGCCTGGTCAACAGAGTGAGACCCCATCTCAAAAAAACAAAAACAAAAACAAAAATATCTCAGCCACAAGCCCCCCTTGCAGGAGCCCAAATCACTGCCCAAAAGCCACCTGTGAGAAACAGAGGATGATGGATGCTGACCCAATCCACTCTACCACCCTGGCCTCACCCTTCCCTGCCCTCCCCCGTCCTATACATGGTGCATCTCCAGCCTCTTGGATGAGACACCTGTGTTTTTATCAGCATCAAAATGACTGGTATCACAAGCGCAGCCAAACCGTACTCTGGTAGTGGGAATCTTTTAAAAACGCCATCACAGAAAGACAAGCTGTGAGACTCTTCCGCCTTCCTCACGCGGCTATGACATAATGTTCAGGTTAATGGTGAAGAAGGAAAGGGACCGAGAGCTGGCATGCCCCCCAAAATGTTCTTTCAACGGGCTTGAACCTGAACGCACATTCACTTTTGCTGCCACTTCGGCTGTTCTGTGACTCTTTGGGGGCAGTAAAGCTGGTAGGTAACGTTGGGGTGATTTCCATAGATTGGGTAAATATTATACTTCGCCAAGCACGAGTGACACACACGAGCAGAGGAGCTCCCGAACATGTAATTTTCTCTCCTCTCCCCCGCGCCATGCAGCCCATGATTTGTTTAGTCTCTATCACTGTGATTTCCTTCCTCTTTGTGACCTGCCACAGCTCACATTTCGAGAGAAAACAGAGTAGCGCTTCTGCACTGTGGCCTCTGCAGAGCCTGGCCACGCTGGGGGGTCCCCTCTCCTATGGCTGAAAGACAAATGACCATCCATCTCAACATTGGTTCCTTGCTCGGCTTCAGAAGACAGAACTACAAAACCAGGCAAGAGCACAGGGGAATGTTAATTCAAACCATCAGAAACTGATCTGAGATAAAAAGCAGCATTGAAAATGCTGTGGACAGGATGGATTTGTCCACAAATGCAGCTGGGCAAGGAACCATTGGAAAAGCAAGACACCAGACTTCAATAAATCTCAGTTCCTGCAATGTTCTGAAATTAATTTCTGGTACAATAATGTTTAAATATGTGAAATGAAGCAATAGAAACTACATGAGTATCTGAACAAACATGTATGACATCTCTCTTAACCTGAAACCGAAGACCAACTCCGTTAAGGAAATAATAATTTTGCTATAGTATCTGCACATCAAGGGCACATCTAACACACATGGAAAATTGGTCCATTGTTTGTAGAACTTTAAGCTCCTCAGGGCAGTAAATTGGCAGTGTAGAAAGAAAATCAGTTTTCTTTTTTTTCTTTTTTGAGACAGAGTCCTGCTCTGTCGCCAGGCTGGAGTGCAGTGGCGTAATCTCAGCTCACTGCAACCTCTGCCTCCAGGGTTCAAGTGATTTTTCTGCCTCAGTCTCCCAAGTAGCTGGGATTACAGGCGTCCACCACCACGCCTGGGTAATTTTTCTATTTTTAGTAGAGATAGTGTTTCACCATGTTGGCCAGGTTGGTCTCGAACTCCTGACCTCATGATTCACCTGCCTAGGCCTCCCAAAGTGCTGGGATTACAGGCGTGAGCCACCGTGCCCTGCCTTGAACACCAGTTTTCTAATTAGATCTACCTTTGAATCCCATGTCCCTCACACTTCAGTTCCAGGTCCCAGCAAATGGTATCATCCTTGCTTCTCAGCTCCTTCAGCTGGAAAATGTTGCTGGTATCACCAGCCTCATAGGATAGAGTAGGGGCCAGTAAAGCTTTCCCCGAACCACACCTGCCCATTTCGGGATTGTGTAAGTCTGCTTTGATGAGTTGTTTCGACAGAGACCGTGGGGCCCACACAGCCTGAAATATCCACTGTCCAGCCCTTTCCAGAAAACATTTGCCAGCCCATCTTAAGAGAACATCACAAGTTCTTCCCTCCATGCCCCACTCTCAGCCTTCTTCATTCAGGCTTGAAGGCAGCTCTGCAGCAGCTGTGACTGTGCCAATCAGGTGGGGCCACTGGCTGTACCCACACAGGACACTGCAGACGGAGAGAAACAGAACAGCAGGAGAGCCACTGCTGCTTCGGACTCCTTCTTTTTTTATGGCTGTATATTCCACTGCATAGATATATGTATATGTATATGTATATGTATAGGTATATGTATATGTATATGTAGTGTATGTATATGATGTATATGTATGTGTATGATGTATATGTTGTATATGTATATTATATACATGTGTATGTGTATGATGTATATGTATATGATGTATATGTGTATGTATATGATGTATGTGTATATGATGTATGTGTATGTATATGCGTATGTATATGATGTATATGCATATGTATATGATGTATATGAATATGATGTATGTGTATGTATGATGTATATGTTGTATATGTATATGATATACATGTATATGTGTATGATGTATATGTATATGATGTATATGTGTATGTATATGTATATGTATATGATGTATGTGTATGTATATGTGTATGTATATGATGTATATGTATATGATGTATGTGTATGATGTATATGTATATATGTATATGATATACATGTGTATGTGTATGATGTATATGTATATATGTGTACGTATATGATGTATATGTATATGATGTATATGTGTATGTATATGATGTGTATGTATATGATGTATATGGGTATGTATATGATGTATATGTGTATTTATATGATGTGTACATATATGAAGTATATGTGTATATATAGGGGTATGGGAGAGATGGGTGATGTTGACCAAAGGCTACATCTTATAATTTTCTGTTAGAAGGTGAGTAAGTTCAGCGGATCTGATGACAGCATGGGGACTCTGGCTAACAATACTATGGTACTGTTTACTTGAAATCTGAAGAGAGAGCCGACTTTAAGTGTCTTCATCACACATATTAACACACAAAAAACATGTTCATTCGGGAGGTGGTGTATATGTTCATCTGATTGTGGTAGTCATTATGCAATGCAGAGATACATCAAATCATCATGTTGTATGCCCTGAACACGTACAATTTTTGTCATATAGTTAAAATTTAAAAAAAAAAATAGGCTGGGCATGGTGACTCACGCCTGTAATCCTTTGGGGACCGAGGCGGGCGGATCACTTGAGGTCAGAAGTCCGAGACCAGCCTGGCCAACATGGTGAAACCTTACCTCTACTAAAAATACAAAAATTAGCCGGGTATGATGGGACACACCTGTAATCCCAGCTACTCTGGAGGCTGAGGCAGGAGAATCACTTGAACCTGGGAGACAGAGATTGCAGTGAGCCAAGATTATGCCACTGCACTCCAGCCTGGGTGACAGAGTGAGACTCCGCCTAAAAAAAAAAAATTTTTTTTTAATTTTAATGACAGAGATGATAGGCAATGAAAAAGTTACAGCCGGGTCTCAGTAGTGTTGTGTGGATATAAGGCTGTATCTATGCCAAGAGCTCAATCATTGCGTCCACCATGCACACACCCACATCGCTACTCAGGCCCTCTCCTGAGCTCCAGACCAGGCCCTCTTCTGAGCTCCAGACCAGTGTTCTCTCTGCCACTCCAGCCTCTGCCCATATCCTTGGTTAGACTCCAACCATACTGAACACTCTCTCCTTCTCTCGTGCCTCTGTGTCTTGGCATAGGCTGTTTCCCAGGGTCCGGAAGGCCTGGCCCCCTCCCTGACTCCAGGTTGTCCTTCAAGCTTCCGCTTGGGGCATGCCTTTTCTGAGCAGCCGGGGCTCTCTGGCTGTAGCAGTCGCAGGAGTCCACAGGCCTGCCCTGTCATACTCTTGCCCCTGCTCAGAGACTCAGCTCCCACAGGCCTCCCATCCCACCCACTCCACTTGCAATCAGTGAGACCAAGGGTGGCTACTGACTCAAACCGAGCCCATCATAGAGAGTCTTCCAGAAGTTCAGATGTGCCACAGCCTGACAAGAGACGCAAAAGAAGGTGGCAACAGACACCTGTGGCCCAAGAGTAAACAGTTGCAAGTCACTCCACAATGGTGAGTGTGGAGACACACTGAAATAGTGATTTGCTGAAAGCCAAGTGCTCAAAAG